CCCAACGCTTTGTGGCGTTTGCTTGGCGACGCGTTCGACGGAACTGGTGGCTAGATCGTACCTGCATATGTTTCCTAGTAACTGCGGGCATCATATTTGGACTTTCATATTATTTCATGAACGTGATGGCCAATGTTGCGTCACAGCGCAGCAAACTGATAGAAGATGCGTTGGGTGCTCGGTATACGCTTCCCGATGTTTTCTTTGAATTTATTGGGATTCTAGAGTTGCTGTGGATGACGGATATGTTTGACGCGCTAATGTTTGTGCCTACAGCGCTTCTGGTGATGTGGCACGAGCGACCATGGCGAGTGGTATCCCGGCTTCTGCTGGCGTGGGGACTAGCGTCGCTTATTCGTATTACCACTGTGGCAATCACTTCAGTGCCAGATCCGCGGCCGTCCTGTCAGTATGTAGAAGGCAATGTGTTTACAACTTTTACGCTACACCGGTGTGGAGATGCAATATACTCTGGACACACATTAATATTTGTGGTGTGTGCAATGATGTGGACGTCGTTCGCGCCAAAGAACCTAGTTGGACGGGTAATGACAACATGTGCATGGTGCCTGTGCATTGCTGGGTCGCTGATAGTGATTGCCAACCGTGCACACTACACGATTGATGTGCTTTTGGCATGGTACATTGCACCTGGCGCATGGTACACAGTGGCGTGGTTCTGGTACTGGCACATTACCAAGAAGGGTCGGCTTCTGAAAATTGAGTTTCCCGTGGAGGTTGGCCGTCATCGCGACAAGGACACACCCGAGATGTGCCAGCATCGGCGAGTGCAGCTTGGCTTAATGCCTGATGGCACACCGTATGATCCAGTGGCAATGTATCTCAATCTTATGCGCAGTGAGGAAGAAGGAGGTCTTGTGCCGTCTTTGGAGGTGCGTGAGCATTCGATCTTTAACGCGCCAATCAATGAGAAAAGGGATACGTTAGAAGCGGATCTCAGCGGTTCCAGCGTTAGTGTAAAAGACGAAAGCTGCATTGTCATTGCTGAGGACTTTAACATGGACAACCACCAACATGGCGGCTCTTCACGAGATCGCTCCCAGCTTTAGTAGATATCCTACTCCTTTTTCGGCGTTCCCACACAACGCCTTTCCTACTGTGTTAACAACGCGATCTGCAACCTACGCCTACTGACGCAGCAACAGGCGATTATCTGCTCTCCAGCTGCACAATAAATGGCGTGACGCTCGGACGGTTCTCGTTTAAGCGTGTACTTTCAAGGATCTCTTTCCACTTATTTTTTTTTCCTATTTTCTTGCTGATATAAAAAACCATACCTGTTAACCTACCTTTGTTCCGTGAATTTCTGTTTTGACCTCTAATAAACTTTTTTATTGGTACGCTTTTGCCTTAATTAAAATTGCCGTGGTTTTCAAATGACGGTTCCGGAGACATTCTCGCTGGACGAGAACCCTGACTGGCCAACACAGGGCGCATACGAGTACGCAGACTACTACAGCAGCCAGAAGGAGGTAGTCAGCTTTGACGACTTTATCAAGACAAGACATGCAAAGGAGAGCTACGACCACGTTATAATCGGTGCTGGGCCTATCGGTGCAGCGCTTGCATACAAACTGGCACAGGATAGACCTGATGGGCAGCTGCTTTTAATTGAGAAGAGCTGGACCGAGCCAGACCGCATAGTTGGCGAGCTTATGCAGCCGGCAGGGTGTCAGGCAATGGAACTTCTGGGACTAAGTAATGTTTTCAGCGGGATCGGTGCAGTGCCTGTACACGGGTATCATATTTCTTACAGCGGAAAACATCTGTTTGTGCCATATATGGAGCGACCAAATGGACATGGGCGGTTTCGCGGCAACAGCTTCCACCATGGTCGTCTGGTTATGAATCTGCGGGCTGCATGCAAGGCACAGGCCAACATTACTTGTCTCGAGGCATCAGCAGTGGAGCTCATAGGCGAAACAACAAAAGACGGGCGTTTAGAGACTGTTCGTGGAGTGCGCCTTGGTCCATCGCGTACAAAAGATGAGTGCGAAAACAGCAACGGACCGGTAGCACGTCCACGCGGGCTGACCTTTGTATGCGATGGGATTATGTCGCAGTTCCGCAAGCATCTGCACGGGTCTCCAGTTGAGCCAATATCGCATTTTTGTGGATTTGTGCTGGAGCACGAGCCAGTAGCTACTTCGACATA